GCTAACAGTCAGACGTCTGAAGGAGGAAAAACCAGAGCGTTGAGAGAAACACTTGGTGCTGTGGGTTTGTTCAGTGCAGCAGCAGTGAGCAGTGAAAATAATCATAATAACTGACAAATCAGAGGTAAAACTAAGTCTAAGAAGTTTTACACAAACATGGGAACAGTCCCTCTGTGTCCAGAATGCTGAAACACGTGAGTTTCCCCATTTGTGGTGAAAAATGAAGTGCAATCTAATCCAATCTAATCTAATCTAATACAGGGCACTCATCAGTTTAAGATTAGGGACAAACCCCACAAATAAAAGAATAAAATAAACACGTGAAATATTGATGTTTTCAGTCTGATATAACGTTCTGACTGGGCAGAAATCTGATCATCTTATTGACTTATGTGACCTTTATTTTACCAGGTAAGAACCTCTGAGATCCAGTTCTCCTTTGCTAACTTGAGCGGGCCGAGAGGCGCCGGCAGGAACACACACACATGGACATGACAGGCACATTGACATGACACAGAACAACAGTAAACATGAGGAAGCATGGGGGCATGTGGGGCAGAAACAACGTGCACGAGGTGATCAGCAGCAGACATGTCTAATTTTAACGTTTCATGTGAAAGCAAATGAAGCGGCTATGTGTGTGTTAGAACACAGATGAGTTCACGCCAGATTGTTGTAGTCGGTTGTATTATCGGTTTAGTGACGAGTTAAAGAGATGCTGAGGTGAAACCGGTAGCAAGGTCGAGCTAACGAACGCTGCATCTCGATGACAAAAGGCTCACAGTGACGATACAGCAACAGGGCCTCGGGTCCTTCAGGACAACGGCGAGGATATCTGTAAGGTCTGGACCATTTCTAATCTACGATGCCCTCGTACATACACATGTACAGAATCTTCTTATTATTTTCTTTATTTATTTTATTCCCTTTTTGCACTGTTTGGAAATTTGATTTATTTATTTCTGCTATTTCTTCTCTCTCTATGTGTGTGTATGTGTACATATATATATATGTATACATTCACACACACACACACATATATATGTATGTCTTGTGTGTTTTATTCCTTATTCTTATTTATCTTATTGTTTCGGTGTGGAGCAGGTGTGCGTTACACCAGGTATAACTGTGTTTGTGACCAATAAAGGCCTTGAGTCCACTTAGTTCTGAGCCAAGGTGCCGTTCCCTCAGGAAAACAACCCTGATATGTGTAAAGTTTGGACCGTTTCTAATCCACTATGCCGTTCTGGTTCTGAGCCAAGCTGCCGGTCCTCCGGCCTCCCCCTCGTCTCTCCACATCTCCAGCGCCTGCTGCCCAGCTGGTTGGTCTCACTGTCTGTCACAGCACAAGCATGCCGTTGTCCTGCTCACCTGCCTCTGCTGGAACAAGGCTCATTCACCAACACGCCTCCTCCACTCTGGAGACGTTTGTGCTGCAGCTATGAAACTGCCTTTATCTTCCCTGACTGAGAAACAGAACCAGAGTGCTGAATGAGAACGAGGCCCGCTGGACTCTGCTGTACACCGTGAACAGGCCAAAGCGGAGGTAACGCAGAGTTCACGGCCTCCATGCTCAGAGTGGGGCTCGGTCCATCTGTCATAAAAACACAGAATGGAGCGACAGAGAAAAAGGCTTTCCACAGCAGAGGAATGCACGGCTTCATGTGCAGGACGATATTAAAACTTTTATTTATCTATTTTGGCTCTCTGGCGTCCCACACAAGGAAGCGATAAATTAACTGGCCGGAGCCAAAAGCACTGGAGTGCAAACGAGGAAAAACGATGTAGATCTCGGGAGGAACTTTGGTCACAAATCAAAGTTCTGCTTGAAGCTGAGTTTGCTCAGGTACACGACGCACGCCAAGAGTGTGTTTGAGTTGGACGCTGTGGAGGCCGAAGGCAGATTCTGACTGTTATGAATCAGTGTTTAATATAAATGGCATGGGAGGAAGGAGAAGCGATCCAACACTGACCGAACAGCGACCCAACAGCGCCCAAACAGCAACCCAATAGTTACCCAACACCGCCCAAACAGCGACCCAACAGCGACTATACAGCGACCCAACAGCAATCCAACAGCACCCCAACAGTGTCCCAACAGCGACACAACAGCGACCAAACAGCGCCCAAACAGCAACAGAACAGCGACCCTACAGCGACCCCACAGGGCCCCAACAGCGATCCAACAGCGACCCAACAGTGACCCAACAGCGCCCAAACAGCGCCCCAACAGCGACCCAACAGCGCCCAAACAGCGAGCCAACAGTGCCCCAACAGCGCCCCAACAGAGACCCAACAGCGACCCAACAGCGACCAAACAGCATCCCAACAGCGACCCAACAGCAACCAAACAGCGACCCAACAGCGACCCAACAGCGCCCAAACAGCAACCCAACAGCGACCCAACAGTGCCCCAACAGCACCCCAACAGCACCCCAACAGCACCCAAACAGCAATCCAACAGTGACCCAACAGCGCCCCAACAGCGACCAAACAGCGACCCAACAGTGACCAAACAGCGACCAAACAGCAACAGAACAGCGACCCAACAGCGACCCCACAGGGCCCCAACAGCGCCCCAACAGCAACAGAACAGCGACCCAACAGCGCCCAAACAGCGACCCAACAGCGCCCCAACAGCGACCGAACAGTGCCCAAACAGCGACGCCACAGCGCCCCAACAGCGCCCCAACAGCAACAGAACAGCGACCCTACAGCGACCCCACAGGGCCCCAACAGCGACCCAACAGCGCCCCAACAGCGCCCCAACAGCAACCCAACAGCAACCCAACAGCGCCCAAACAGCAACCCAACAGCGACCCAACAGCGCCCAAACAGCGCCCCAACAGCAACCCAACAGCAACCCAACAGAGACCCAACAGAGACCCAACAGCGACCCAACAGCGACCAAACAGCGACCCAACAGCAACCAAACAGCACCGACGCTGGATTCAATGGACTGGTGAGGAACTCTTTAGCACAGCTCAGAATTCATCTACAAAGCATCGTCAGGAAAAACACCTGAATATCTGACTTGTCTTTTTAATTATAGATCAACTTCTCATCAAACGAGAGCTCAAGATTTTATAGTCCTGGAAAACACCCTCATTAAAACCGAGATCAGGAAACAAGCTTTTACATTCAGTCGATAGTCCGACCCTTAACAGTCCTAAACCTGCTGTCTGACAGGTTTTAGGAAAAACCAACAGAACCCATAAAAACAGTCTTAACATACCGATAGCCTTGGATTCTGACTCCGACATGACATTTTACGTCACCAATCAGGATAACGGCGTATTATCTGACTGAACAATCCCACAGATTGGCTACGTTCACACTGCAGGACTTGATGCTCAATGAGGATTTCTTTGCGAGTTCCTTCACATTTCCAGTTAAATGCGACTTGTATGTGATCTGCTGTGTGAACTTCATACGACCCAGAAGTGTCCCGCATGCGCAGAAGAGGACACGACGACGTCACAAGCAGCGAGCGTGCTCAGTGTTTACGGAAGTAAACATGGATGGTAACGGTGGAGCGTATCTGCCACTCCCCCGCCGCTATCGATGGTGGAAACAGAAGTGTAAGCGCTAACTAAACTAGCATCAGCAGCCAAGTACTGCCTGTGTGTTCTGGACACTTCCACCCCGTCAGAGCGCTCCCCCGGGGTGGAAGTGTCCGGAACGTGCACAAGCGCACCGGTCAGTTAGGCTGAAATTCAGCGATGCGTAGTGTTCTAACAATACACTAGTTATTATAACAACTCTGAAAAATAATTAACAACTAATGAGCCTTCCAGCATCAAGCCCTCCTTGTATCTGGACCTCTGTCTGGACAATCCGACAGCCTTGCTATCCGACATAGAAGAAGGTTTTACATCTAGTGACGGATCATCGAGTCACGGCTGTATGATGCACCCAAGTATTGGAACAAAACTCAAAACCTGCTGAGGTCAGACAGTCTGATCCATCTGACAGTTTTAGGGTTAGGGGCGTACACTTTCTCTAACGTGTGATTGTTTATTCTGTTTGTCAGTGTAAATATCTATTCTTTGTATTTTATTCTGTATCTAATACCTGAATAATGTGTTTTCTGCTTATTGTCATGCTTACACCCATGAAAACCAGAGTATCTGCTCTCATTGGGGCTTCTACCTGCAAGTACACATACAGGACAAAAATAAAAACCTTGTCAGGAAACAAATGAAGAATCTGAGTGCCCAACATGCTCCTGATGTCTTTCAGGTGGACGCGCCTCGTTGCAGCCGGCGCCTCCAGCCTGCACAGTCCTGCACTAGCGAGGGCTCAACAGCGTTTCTGTGCGCACAAGCCCAGATGCAGTTTAATGTGGAACGTGAAGGGGGCCACACAGACGGACAGAACCAGCGTCGGACCTGTAGAGTCTGGGAGAGTGCGGTAAGTAGATGGATTAGCCCTTTATTATGCGGCACACAGTTTGGTTGGCTGTGCCTCCAAAGAGGTACAGCTTATGACGTGCTGTAAGTCTAGATTAAAGGGTCAGCTGGAGGTCACGGCCAAACATGAGAGCCTCACCAAAACCGGCTGCGAGGTGGTCGACAAAAAAACACCAACGACGCCAAACAACCACCAACAACAGCCGGACCCACATAAAGGTGGAATACATGAACTACCAGCTCGCTACCGTCTGAATCCTTCTGTGCAGCTAAAGCGCAAAATCAAAACCAAACATGATGGTACGCAACGTCCTCACAGGTTTAAGTCACATAAATACACAGGAGATAACATGATGGTATGAAAAACCTCGACAACATTTACGGACATCACAGCGTAATAAAAAGCTGATCGATCCCTTAGAAATCAACTTCTGCTCTCCGTCACAGTTAACTTAGACTTTATGCAGCTTCACAGTGAAAGGTCACCGTTAAATCTGCAAAAGCAAAGTGCATCATTAACCTCGACTAAAATGGCGCACTGCGGAAACAAACAGGCACCAGACGAACCACACAGGAAGGGCGTCCTACCTGGAGCCGGTTCCGGTCTGGGAGCGGCGGGGAGCGGTCGCTGGGATCTGGGTTGACTCGACGGCTGCGTCATCTTGATGGGTCCCACGTACTCGACGTACGTCCCGGGGAAGTCGCCCCTCTGCTTGGTGCGCTCGTTGTAGCCGAGGAGCCAGCCCAGGCGCTCGGGCTGCTCCACGCAGCCCTCCTGGAAGCTCTCCATGGACATCAGAGACGCCTTGCTGACCGTCAGGAGGTCTCCCGGCTGCAGGTCCAAGTCCTCCTCCTGGTCCTTGGTAAACGTATAGAGGGCACGGTACTGGAAACCTTCCGCCGCCATTTTGTAACAGAGTCAAAAATTAAAATGGCCACCGAACGGAGGATTAAATGGTGCAGCCCGAGTCCCACTGAGCTGTGCACAAGTCCTCCTCAGAAACCAAAGATGAGTCACTGCAGTCTGGTGCTGGTACCGTGGCCTAACGGGTCAGGGGGAGGAGGGGAGGAGGGGAAGTCACCCGAAGCTGAGGAGCATGTTTAAAAGGTGATCAGGTGGCGCTGTGCTGCTGTGGCGTGGCAGCGGTCTCAGAGCTGGCCGGTGTTGGTGGACACTTTCCTCAGCTTGATACCCCGGTTGAGCCAGATGATGGAGCAGAGGGACAGCGTCGGCAACATGCTCCTTCAGGCAGCAGAAACCCGCCGTCTGGCTGCTACTGGAGCAGCCTGGTTCAGGTCGAGGGCCCTGCGTTGCTGGCTCTCCGCGGTCAAATCCAGCGGTCTGATCGGAGGACGGGCGGCCGAGTCCTGTCCGGTTCCCTCAGAGCCGCAACACGTTCTGGGCTGGAACTGTGGCCGACCTGCGCAAAACAAAAACCACAAAAAATAAGAAAAGGTTTGAAATTAGTCTCAAAAATCACAACAAACACAAAAACGGTTAAAAACCAGAAATAACCGTCAATAAAGGCCGACTGTGTTGGATGAACAGCCACGAGCAGACCTCTGTGAAACGAAGCTTAAAGCGGTGCATGAAAATGGCGAACTGCGACAGCTCCATGCATTCGTGCAGCCTTCAGTTGGGATAGAGAGATCGGATGATGCTGCTGCGTCATAACCAACAGCAGACTGGGTCCCTGGACAGAAGCCTCCGTTCCCTCCACATTCACACAGTCGCTGCCTCAACCGACGCATCACAGTTTCCACAGGAACGAGAAGTTTCACTGAGAAATAAACGTCCCTTCAACTCGCACAACAGCGATTAACCCGGAGGAAGGGTTTTCGCAGACCGAGCGTGCAAAGGAAGCCGAGAGCTGCACCTCGGCTGTAGGGCGACCAGAAGCATCCAAAACATGCAGAACCCTTTGCAACAGTTCCCCCTCGGTAGGAGGGAAAAGAGGCAGCTCTGTGTCGCCTCGGAGAGGTTCTAGACTTCATCATACTGAACCAAGTGTATGTCACTGGAGGACAGACAGCCAATGAGCAGCCAGACGCCGGCACAGCATCATAAACAACCACCTAAAATCACATCCAGTCGTTCACATCACAGCAAAAAGGTCAAACCGACAAGATACCCTCTGATTTACGGGCCCAGCAACACGCCAGCACCAGCACCAGCATGCAGTCTTTATACCAGCAACGCAACAATTCCAAAAGAAAAATTCATCCCAACGGTCGCCTCTGTTGAACCCATCCACCGCACGCTGAGGTTTTAAAAATCTAAATTTCTGAGATGTAAAAACGTTGAATCATAACATCCGCAGTCAGACGTGGAGACATGCTGCATCTGTTTGGACCGCCGGAGACAAAGCGGGCCGAAGTAAAAATCTAAAATGCTGCTAAGTTAAATTTTAAAATGGCAACTAGGTGGAGGGACGAGACGAGGAAGAAGGAGATTATGGTCTCCAGATTAAGTACGACATCTGTGGACCAACCAAGGACGACGGTGTGATGAACCCGTCTGGACAGGACAAGGGGATGGCAGCGAGGAGACCACGCAGGTAGAAGGCGCACAGAGGTGGATGCTAGTTTTATTCTGGGAGTAAGAGGGTATTTGGGGCAATTTCCCAACACGTCCAAATCCAAACAGGCCCGGTGTGAAGGCCCGACGTGGTGCCTTCCTCCATGAATGTGCATACATGGACAGTGTCTGGACCGATGCAGCTCAGACGCTGGGACACGATTTGGTGAAAGCATAAAAAATAAACCCAGAGCTTCGTTTGAAAGCCGAAGTGCTTTGAACCCCGGTCCAGATTATCCTCTCCCCCTCCACATCCCCAAAGCCAGCGCACATTCCCTGCAAACCTTCGCGAGCGCGGACGGCGTCTTTCTAGAAAAGCTTTCAGAGTTATGGCGGCGACGGGATGCGGCAGAGTGCAGAACTCACCCCACTTTGGTTCAGAGAGCAGCCGGACGGGCTCAGCCAGACTCTCGGTCCAACATCCTCCGAGTGGAGAAGCGAGAGGTGCCAGGCGAGACACGTGGCACTGGCGTACCCAACCACAGCCCGCAATCCTCACACCACCATCGCCCTCCCCCCAGCCCCAACCC